GAGGTACCCCCTGGCCTATGTTACTCCCCGGTCCGAGCTTCCCCTATACCCCAAATTTCAGACTCGGGGCAGACCTAGTGTAGCCGCCAACCCCGAACAGACAGACAGACAGACAAACGACAGTCACAAATATATATATAGGAGATAGATAGATAGATTGTCTGGTTGGACATGGTGTATGCATATATATACGGATAGAAGGTCAGATTCCTGTGGATAATACTACAAACGTTATATGAATCGGGGGTGGACTGGGAGTCGGTTGTTGCCAGAAGAGTCGGTGGGCCATCGCCCGCGATTGGAAAAATTAAATTAATATAATATATTTATTTCAAAATAAATATAATTCATCATGGCATCCACTGAAAAATATAATGGTCTAAAGCCAGGATAAAAATGATCTATGAGTGGGGTGGGGAATAGGTGAATCATCTAGTTTCGTTTTTCTCGTTATGTCACGTATTCTTCACTGCAATGTGGGTCAAAAGGGAAACCAGTTGATCCGTGGTCCCAAAGATACACAGTCTACCCCTGGTGTCATATAAAGATTGTTTGTAAATGAACAATAATGATCAATATATATTGTTTTTCGTTGGGTGTGGGTGGGGGGTCTCAGAAAGAAAGGGCCTAATTTGTACTTTAAATATTATGTTAAAAACAAATGTTAATTATGACGTCATTTTTATTTTTATATGAAATATCAAAATACAAATCGGAAAAATACAATTTGATATTTAATCCAGAATTGATTGATAAGAACACGTGCCCAGAAAACTTGTAGTCACTTGGCCTAGACAGTAGTCCCGGTAAGCATACCTACAATAAAGAATATAAAATTATATCAATAGTACACAATAAAAAAAACACATGGTAGCCAAGCGACAACATATATAAATTTTATAAAGATCGGATAATAAATGTATTCTGAAGAGTTTACATAAGAAAGTCGGGACGGTGGGACGGTCGAACGGGGGCCCGGGCGACGACTATATGCTACCAAATCTCGAAGGTATCTCGTCCTTTTTGACGTGGTGGGCGTCATATTTTAAAAGACAAATTCGCTAAGCTATTCATTTTCAAATATCCAAATTTCAAAATTTCATTGGTTGCTATGAGTGACACCTTCGTACCGGGGAGGGACACGGGCGACAAAGTTTTAACGCCTTGTCAGCACTAGCGACCAATCGGGTACATACAATTTTGTTTGTTGCAATTCCAAACATGACTAGACATTTGCGAAACGTGATCTTGGGCAAAAAAATATTTTCAACACGTTCAATCGCAGACATCAGTAAAAATAATAAAAAAAATAACCACCGTATAAATATATTTAAGTGATGTCCCTTATAAATATCATTAAGTGATGTTCATTATAAATATCTTGATGTGATGTCCCTTATAAATATCATTAAGTGATGTCCCTTATAAATATCTTCCCTTATAAATATATTTAAGTGATGTCCCTTATAAATATCTTTATGTGATGTCACAAATTCTTCTGGAAAGCCTTATTGACGCGCATATTTTTACTGTTTCTTTAATGAAATAAACTTACGAGAAATTGTAGGTATATCCATGCTCTCGCTTGAGTTGCTTAATGCATGCTACGTCATCTGTTAGGTTGTCATCTCTAAAAACGACAATAAATGTTCAACACATCATAAACCCAACAAATCTTGACATATAATTAATATAATATGGGATGCCCATGTGTCAAACTCCATGAATCTGTAATCCAAAGCCACCCATCAATTAACTTTGGATTCATTGTCCTTTATATCGAAATCTTGCTGTTAAAGGATTTTTTTTTCAGATTTTCTTTGATTCTGTAGAAATGTTTGTGAAAAAGTTTACAGTTTTTACAAAACTGCATGGTGGCGGGCGTATGTTTCGATGCCAGTAAAACTATCTTTTAAACGGTAATTCCGAAAACGACTTTGTTTACAAACTGGACCCAAACAGTTCGCTTTTTTTCGGCCATAATGATTAAACGGTCTTCTAGAATACCAAACGGTACTGGAAAAATTATGTTTGCATGGCTTACCGGAACACTTCTTGTTGCATCCATTTCTTGTCGTCCCATTGCCATTATCATAATTCCAGGTAAAGAAAGTAATAAAGAATACTTATCTTGAGTACTTATATAATTTGAGTACAGAATCTGCTATAGTCATTAAAATCTAACTAGCAGGATCACCTAACAGTCAGACTGTGTTCAAATAAACTTTGTCTTTATTTCATTGACTTATCTGAAGAATAATTTATTATCTGATATTTTTGTTGTGAACATCTACATTTACTGGCATTTTTTGGAGAGTGGGGTGGGGAATATTCCTTTGAGTGTCAACATGTATCACTATTTCATTCATATTATATACACTATTTTATACTTTATATTTTATTTTTCGTGGTAAGCTTATTTTAGTTTGTCATTTGGTATCACAATAAATTAAGGAAAACTGCATTCGGGAAAATTATCTTTGAAAAGTCTACATAATTCACACAAGTACATCACTATAAATTCTATTGTAAACTATAGTATGAATAAAAGACATCGCCAATTTATGAAATCTATAGTATAGAACATTGTTTCTACAATATTATGTAGGAAACTATAGTAGGCTATTTGTTAAAATGGTTTAAGTACAGTATACATATAAATTCTACAGAAAACTATAGAAGGCTCATGCATTATCTTTTTCTCCACAAAATTTATAGAATCCTTTTTTTCCTTAGTTTTCTACAGAATGTCATAGAAAACTACTATAGGAATATACTACTGACTTGAGACAATAAGTTAGTTCTATAGTTTTTACCACCAAATCTATAGGAATCACAGCTGACATGAGAATACACTTAATTTACACAAAAACAAATATACGGACAAGACATTGTACGCAGAACTCACAAACGCACAATTCAAATAAAGTGAATGGATCCGGGGGCTAGCCGCAAGGGTCCACTGTGCTGTACAGTCCCGGGCCTGTAGTGACACAGACTTCACTCAAATTTGAAAATAATCAGGAATAAAACCCTGAGAAACCATTGTGTAATGCCAGCATGGGTCATGATCTGCTATAATGTTACAAGAAATACGAATGTAAGTATATTGTAGTAAAATTTAACTATACAAGTAACCACTTAGTCTTTACATTCAACGACCGACTGGGCAGTACGTGTGAGGTTAATATATCGTCTGCTGGCACTGCATATACTGCCCTACTGTACACTATACTATTAGACCGGAGGCTCAAAGCGGGGGGCGGGGGGGGGGGGGTGTCCATCAAATGGGCACAAAACCAAACCAAACTTTTCTAGAGTAAAATTTTGCGTAGAATACGATGCCGAGTGGTAATCAGTCCGCCGTTGGGGCGTTTTAGAGATATTTGGGGTCAAAGGTCAAATGGGTTCATTTGCATTGAAAGTGATTGTCTTAAAATGATCGAAAGTAATCACACTTCAATAGAAATGTAAACTTGCTAAATTCACCTTTAGTCTTAGTGACCCTGGAGGTCAAAAGGTGAAATTTACCGTTTTTGCACTAGGAAGATTTAAAGCAATAAAATGTCAACATAAAATATAAAAACTAAAGCGAAACCTGTTCTAATTAATAATAGAAACATTTAAAATTTATCTTTAGAGGGTCTTAGCACCGAACTTTTCCTTTGGAACGTCGAAAATGATTTTGCATAACAGAACCAACACACTTTGAAACCTGTTTCAAAAATACTTAAAAACTGTCAAATCGAAATCTCTCCGATTTATTTTCACAACGATTGTTATAAATAATGATACTAGTTATCTGAAAAACAACTGACAGAATAGTTTCAGTGTTGGACTCTAGTCTGCAGGCCGCGGGGATTTCCGAGAATCCCAGCCTAGGAAAACCGACGTTAATCTGTGACGGGAAAACACATATCTGACGACGAGATTAAAATTTTGCAAATTTTTCATGATTTTTTATGAATTTCGCCGGAACATGGACGCAGATAAAACCGACGAATGCATTGTAAATAGTAGTTCACAAGATATATATGTCGTATTGGTAAATGTTAGCGGGGAAAATTTTGGCAAGTTTGTGACGCGGCCTGCAGGCTGGAGCCATGAAACTATTCAAATGTTGTTTTTTTTTCAGACAACTAGTATCATTATGTATAGCATTCGTTGTAAAACTAATTCGGAGAGATTTTGATTTAACAGTTTTTACGTATTTTTGAAACAGGTTCCGAAGCGTTTTGGTTCTGTTATGCAAGATCATTTTCGACGTTCCAAAGTAAAAGTTCGGTTTATTCCAGGAACTAGAACTATAGGGATAATTTATCCGACCATCTTTTCCTACAAAATGATCCATTTTCCTACATTTTGTATCTCTCACAAAATGCCAACAATTTTCCATCTATCGGTAAGCCTGAGTATATACAACAGTTAATATAATTTATGAACAGAAGAAGGGATCAATCCCTACAAAAATTGCAAGAGAAAGGGTATTTCGATGGTTTTTGGTAGTGTTGGGTGTACTGGGTGACATCCTAAAAGTTTACCAAAATTGGAGTATTGGAAAGTCCAAAATTTTGAGGGTAAATTTCAGGGTCCGTATTCAAAGATTTTCTTATCTATAAATTAAAGCTGTCGCTTTCACTAAATGCCCTTATATGTGTTAATTGTCCTGCAAATATAGATAACATTTGTTTGGTAATTAAAAAACACGCATTAGTGCAAATAATAATTAGCGAATGTAAATAAATATCTGATAAATATCAATATCTGATATTGGTCGGTTAACCCTTACACCTAAATGAAAATAGTTTTCAGTTCCATTTTAAGCATACACGCGATCCTGCTGTGGTATTTTCACATCCAGTGCGAGTATAAATAGTCAGTCACTGCGCATCATCGAAATTTGTCTGCGATATCACTTATGTGGAAGCAGACGTTAAACACCAAGAACGAACGAACGAACGCATCATCGAAAATGACGTCAAAAGGGAAATCTCTAAAGCTCCCACTCGGCAAACCTCGGCAGATTCCGGAACCATAGGGTACTGGAATCTGTTGAGGTTTGCCGAGTGTAAAGCTCCTGCAGTAAACAATCAAGATGGCCGCCTTCACCAGCATGGATCAGCGATACAGTCGTATAGAACAATACTAAAAGGTATATATCATAAATTTCAAGTCGTAGGTCTACGAAAAAGAGCGTCATGTCACTCCATTTGAACAATTCCATTCTAAAATCCATAAATTATAAAATGGTCATGATAATGTTTTCAAACGTTGAGACAATACTCGAGATCTTGTCTTCGAACCGTTGCCCAATTGAAATAAATCAGCAGGCCTAAGATGACAGTAATTCACTAATTGTTCGTCCAGTATTATGAACTAAGTTGTTTTGTTACTGATCCATAATGATATTGTCTAATTTGCTTGCGCACAAACTGAAAAAGGTCTTTTTAGTAGATCATGAAGCTTGAGGAGAATTTGAAGAAACCCCATTGGCATTATGATGATGAGGGTAGGCAGCTACCTAGTTCTTTTTGGAACTGTCTTTGAGCGGACTGACATGGTCCGCTCAAAGACAGTTCCTTAAGGAACTAGCAGCTACCCTACTCCCGTACTTGTACGTGACAAGGAGTAGGATTACTTGTCCCAACCTTGTGTGCTTTCTATAATGGGTTCTCTGGTTTCCTCTCACTTCTAAAGACACATACATTGTATTATGCACAAGCAAATCATTGAAAAAAAAATAGAACCATATGTTAGTCCTGAAATGATGTAGGTTGTGTTGTGTGGGAGTTAACCCTCATTCACCGGTATTCAAACCAAGACACTTTACTCAATGCCAGATGTTATAATCTAAAGCATATTTAGATGACTACACAGTTTCTGAGTCTCTCAATAAGAAAGACTTTATTTACTGCTCAGATTGTTTTATTCAAGCTGTCTTTCCCTTATTTTATTTTATATGGGAAAGTAATCTATTTATAATCTTATTGTTCTGTATTTCAGGGTTGCCTATAAAGGAGTCTATGATACAGTTTCTAGACTAGTTAGATTTATTTGAAAGGATTGATAAAGTAATCAATTAGAATGGGGAAAGTAAAGAAGATCAGATTGAAGTTACACAATGCTTCTGCTAAGAGTAAAATCAACGTTGACAATAAAACAAAGGAAGAGATTAATTTACCTAATGAAATCCCATCCTTAATACCGGTAGGATTAATACATTTTATTCAATAGTTTAAAATACAGATGTGACATCAACCTTTGATGTTGGTGTACTATTATTTAAAATAATGATACATGTACATTATTTATACTAGACGAATTATTGGACTCACTTGAGGTATTTCATTGAAATACACATGTGGGATAGTGTCTATATTTTAAGTTGTTTAATGGTCTTGTGGAAGACATTGTGTAAAATATATAGATATAGCCCTTTGACTATCGTCTTCGTACAATATATTACTTAATACGTAATGTCTCACTCACGACCATTAATGCACACATATAAACTGAGAAAAGAGCAACAATATTGACTAATATACCCTTAATAAGGTGTCTAAGGCGCGTGATCTGTTCACAGTGCATGATCAATCATAAAATGATGAGCTGCTTCAAACCTAATTCCAAGAGGGTATCGAGATGCCCTGGGGTATCAAAAGGGTATCAAGTAAAATAGACGCATAGAAAGTGAATTGCCCCTTGATCATGTACAGTAATAATAATTTAACAAATGATAAAGAATTGGAATAATGTTAAGAATATGGAAAAAATGTTTTAAGAGTTTGAAATGAAATAGGATTTAACGTATTTCTGTTGTACACCGACCGCACTAATGAAGACAGGAGGGAAATAATCTTCATTGTGGCTGATTTTTGCTTTTTGGAGTTCTAGTACCATACTGACTCAGCCATTGTTGGTTCTTAGAGTTATGCCCTTATCAAACAGTCTTATAGAAAACTAGTGTAGTATTTGGTACTTCAAATTTATTGTCCACCACCGTTCGAAGAAACCAGGGTTCGTCTGTCTGTTAGTTTTTCTGTCCATCCGTCTGTTTGTCCGTCTGTCACACTCTACATGTACCTCTGCTTTTAATTGAGGTAGAATGTTTAAACTTGGCGTAGGTGTCTATTAGGTGAATGTTTAAACTTGATGTAGATGTTCATGTCTTGACTGAGTTCAATGATTAACATTTCGAGCTGAAGCTAAGCAGAGCTAATCAATTTCATTGGTCGATGCTTATGGACAAAATAATCTTGATTCTATCTGATAGAGAGTGATGAAACTTAGTGTGTAGTTTGATTGCTCGATACTTTTGAAAAAAATAAATGTGCGATTAATTAATATGTGTCATCTATTTATTATGATGGTTTGTTGTTCTCTTGGATTTGTTGACAATGATTTTAGAATTAGCACAGATGAAATTGTTGCTGATTGGCGGGTTGATGTGAAAATGTATCAATGTTTAGTTGTGTATTAACTCTAGGTAGATAGTAAGAACATGGTTATCAGTGCCAATTTATTCAGTGGAATGAATATAGATAAAACAAATTTAACTCAAAGATTACCAGATTTTGATGCCAGAAGTGCCATCACCAGTAAGACGCTAAAAGGTCTTAGTATGAAGAAAAAAGATAAATTAAAGTTACGCAGAGAATATTTTATGCAGAGTAAGTAATTTACAAGCAAATATAAATGCCAATGGCATGCACACAAGAAAGATTATTTGTTGCCATTGATCTCTGTTGAAAACCGCTCATACCATAATGATTTCCCCCTTGCATATTTTTGGTCCGATAAATATGAAGCAGAGACAATTTTGAATTGACAGATTAAGTTATTTGTAAATCTGATATCTGATACTTCTAGTAAATCTGTTGTACATGTATGTAGCGAAAGAACTGGAGTCTGGCTCTAGTCGCCTATAAGAGTTTGCATTTATACCGAACCTTATTTAAAATGTATTCGCGAAGAGATATCCCAAGCTATAAAAACATCTATTTGATTGATTGAGGGCCCATTTTTATGTCATCACCTCTGTCCGTCTGTCTATTCGTTTGGACGTCCATCCACAATTTGTTTGTGGACAATCTACAGATCACAATTTTTATCTGATTTTGACAAAACTTGAAATATAGGTTTATCTCTAAAAGATACGGTTCCTTTTGATATGGACATGTATCGGATCAAAACTTCATGGATTATGGCCCCTGATTGTTCCAAAAATTGCATTTATATTTTTAGCTTGTTCTCTATCCATCTCTTGCAAAAATGTGGGCGTATCTTGCATGGCAACCACATGTTCAGAATGTGGACGTATATTGTCGTCGCCCCGTGTCCGTCCACAATTGTTTGTGAACAGTCTACAGGTCACATCCGATTTCAATGAAACTTGAAATATAGGTTTATCACCCTAAGATCTCAGTTCCTTTCGATATTGGCATGTATCGGACTGTAACTTCATGGATTATGGCCCCTGATTGTACGAAAAATCATGTTTTTAGCTTGTGAACACTGTAGAGGCCACAATTTTTATCCGATTTGGTTCAAACTTCAAATGTATGTTTATAACCCAAAGATCTTAGTTCCTTTCGATATTCGCGCATATCGGAACGTAACTTCCTGAATTATGGCCCCTGATTGTACGAAAAATCACATTTTTAGCTTGTGGACCCTTTAGAGGTCATAATTTTTATCCGATTTAAAAAAAACGTATTGTTATATCACTGTTACACCCTAAGGACGACTGAGTTCGAATTTCGTGAAAATCAGCCCAAAACTGACAGACAAAATGGCCGCCCTTAGTTCTCAAAAAGAGTAAAAATATGGTATATCAAGGTTGTGGACCCTATAGAGGTCACAATTTTTATCCGATTTTGTTGAAACTTGAAATGTAAGTTTATAACCCAAAGATCTTGGTTCCTTTCGATATTCGCGCATATCGGACCGTAACTTCCTGAATTATGGCCTCTGATTGTACGAAAAATCATGTTTTTAGCTTGTGGGCCCTATAGAGGTCATAATTTTTATCCGATTTAAAAAAACGTATTCTTATATCACCGTTACACCCTAAGGATGGCTGAGTTCGAATTTCGTGAAAATCGGCCCAAAACTGACAGACAAAATGGCCATCCCTCGTTCTCAAATAGCGTAAAAATATGGTATATCAAGGTTGTGGACCCTATAGAGGTCACAATGTTTATCCGATTTTGTTGAAACTTGAAATGTAAGTTTATAGACCAAAGATCTCGGTTCCTTTCGATATTTGCGCATATCGAATTGTAATTTTCTGAATTATGGCCCTTGTTCTCTATCCATCTCTCGAAAATGTTGGCGTATCCTGCCTGGCAGCCGCTGGTTTTAATTACTTACTATCCATAACATACATATTGAGGCCTAAGTAAATTCTTGAATTACTTTCTGCTAACTTCTTTTTCCGTCGTTTAATTACAGAGTCTGTTATAAGTTTATATACCCCTCAATGTTTCCCAAAACCGTCTAACCATACAGCCTGTTTAATACTTCTAGTATGACCCTCTCTCCCATCGAGGTTATCATCTGATCTGCTAGAAATTTATTGTTTAAATTAGTGAATCGCATAAGTTCATTGAATTTCAACAATTACTTTAATGTTAATCACATCAAAAACACATGTCTAACCATACAGCCTGTTTAATACTTCTAGTATGACCCTCTCTCCCATCGAGGTTATCATCTGATCTGCTAGAAATTTATTGTTTAAATTAGTGAATCGCATAAGTTCATTGAATTTCAACAATTACTTTAATGTTAATCACATCAAAAACACATGTCAATGCTTTAACAGTGAACGTTGTCATCAAATCTACTTGAAATTTCTATTATTGTCACAAAGTTTGATAATTACTGATAGAGTTTTATTGCCCTTAATTGTATCATTGATTTGTATTTACTTAAAGATTCAGATTACAAAAACCTTTATGGACTGCTGTCAGGATTTGTTGACTGCTGTGGTCGTATGTCAGGACTTGTTGACTGCTGTGGTCCTACGTCAGGATCTGATGACAAATAAACAGATAGAAGTAAATACAGAAAATCTTATTCAATATATTTGTTTTGTTTAGAAATAAATGCCATTGAAGTAAAAATTCAATATATTTGTTTTGTTTAGAAATAAATGCCATTGAAGTAAATAAAAAGAAAGCTAAAGAGAAAAAGAAGCGTATGAAGACTGCTATTGTTGGGGATATGTCCGTTATAGAAGATGCGTTACCTACATTAGATTTACTCATGAAAACATCCACATCTAAGGACAGTGTGTAAGTTTAAAATTATATGATTGGTGCAGTAATATGTGATCAGGGATAGACTGAGAAGTCTGTGAGTATCGTAAACACAGAGGCCTCTAAACAATTGAATGTTCTCACATGGTTCGCAAAACTTCATTGTTTTTATACGCCCACAATTTCATGTGGACGTATATTGTCGTCGCCCCTGTCCGTCCACAATTGTTTGTGAACAGTCTACAGGTCACAATTTTTAACCGATTTCAATGAAACTTGAAATATAGGTTTATCACCCTATGATCTCGGTTCCGTTCGATATTGGCATGTATCGGACTGTAACTTCATGGATTATGGCCCCTGATTGTACGAAAAATCACGTTTTTAGCTTGTGAACACTGTAGAGATCACAATTTTTATCCGATTTAGTTTATGATGTATGATTATAACCCAAAGATCTCGGTTCCTTTTGATATTTGCGCATATCAGACCGTAACTTCCTGAATTATGGCCCCTGATTGTACAAAAAATCATATTTTTAGCTTTTGGACCCTATAGAGGTCATAATTTTTATCCGATTTAAAAAAACGTATTATTAGATCACCGTTACACCCTAAGGACGACTGAGTTCGAATTTTCGTGAAAATCGGCCCAAAATTGACAGACAAAATAGCCGCCCTTCGTTCTCAAATAGCATAAAAATATGGTATTTTAAGGTTGTGGACCCTAAAGAGGTCACAATTTTTTATCCGATTTTGTTTCTTGGGGAGATAACACCTAGAGTTATAGCCCCTAGTCCCTGTATGTAACATACAGACTTATGACTTGCCCACTCAAAATATGATATCCTCATTTCTATTCGCCCACATTGAAATGTGAACGTCTATTGCCGTCGCCCCCGTCTGTCAGTCCATCCGTCCGTCGGTCCGTCCATCGTCCACAATTTCTTGTGAACGCTCTAACGTCAAAAGTTATCATCCGATCTTTCTGAAATTTTTATGCATTATTTAGGTTACTAAAGCGAAGAAGGCTATTGAATTTCAGCAATTTCCGTTTATTACGTCTAGAGTTATGGCCCTTGTTTCACTTTATTGATCCTTGTGAACGCTCTCACGTCAAAAGTTATCATCCGATCTTTCTGAAATTTATATGCATTATTAAGATTGCTGAAACGAAGAATCCTATTGAATTTCAGCAATTCCCGTTTATTACGTCTAGAGTTATGGCCCTTGTTTCACTTTATTGATCCTTGTGAACGCTCTAACGTCAAAATTTATCATCCGATCTTTCTGAAATTTATATGCATTATTTAGGTTACTGAAACAAAGAAGCCTATTGAATTTCGGCAATATCCGTTTATTACGTCTAGAGTTATGACCCTTGTTTCACTTTATTGATCCTTGAGAACGCTCTCACGTCAAAAGTTATCATCCGATCTTTCTGAAATTTATATGCATTATTTAGATTGCTGAAACGAAAAAGCCTATTGAATTTCAGCAATTCCCGTTTATTACGTCTAGAGTTATGGCCCATGTTTCACTTTATTGATCCTTGTGAATGCTCTAACGTCAAAAGTTATCATCTGATCTTTCTGAAATTTATATGCATTATTATGGTTACTGAAATGGAAAAACCTATTGAATTTCAGCAATTTCCGTTTATTACGTCTAGAGTTATGGCCCTTGTTTTATTTTATTGATCCTTGTGAACACTCTAGCGCAAAAAGTTATCACCCATTCTTTGTGAAATTTATATGCATGATTTAAATTAGTGAAACGAAAAAGCCTTTTGAATTTCAGCAATTTACAATAATTACTTCTAGAGTTATTGCTCTTGTTTCACTTTGTTAAACCTTGTTAATGCTCGATTGATAATAGTTATCATCCGATATGTATGAAATTTATATGCATCATTTAAATTTGTGAAACAGGTCTATTGAATTTCAGCAATTACCGTCAATAATTTCTAGAGTTATGGCGATTGTGAACGTTTGAATGACAAATGTGATCTGTATGAAATTTATATGCATTATTTAAATTAGTAAAACGAAAAAGCCTGTCAAATTTCAACAATTTCTGTAGATTACTTCCAGAGTTGAGACCCTTGTTTCAGTTTGTAGAACCTTGTAAACCCTCAAACGACAAAATTTATAATCTGATCTGTATGGAACTGTCTTGTAAAGGCTCCCAATTACCACAAAGGAATAAATATGCGACAACCCTTGATGACCGCTCGGACGATTTAGCTGCTGTGGGCGTATGTTTTGTTGCCTGGCAACCTATCTTTCTTTAAACACATCTGACATGTGTAATAATCTTCTGAATACCGTCCACCCATCTGTCTACAGGTAATAATATTTTATCAGACTTCAACAATACTCATCCGATTTTGATGGAACTTGAAATATAGGTTTATCTCCCAAAGTCCTTGGTTCCATTTGATATTGGCATGTATCGGTCCTTAACTTGGAGTATGGCCCCTGATTGTACGAAAAATCATGTTTTTAGGTTTTGGACACTTTGTAGGTCATAAGTTTAATCAGATTTTGGTGAAACTCAAAATACATGTTTCTTTCCCAAAGATCTTGGTTCAGTTCGATATTCCCGCATATCGGACCATCACTTCATGGATAATGGCCCCCGATTGTACGAACAATCTATCCAATTTTAAAATATGTTTCAATATATCACTGTTACACCATAAGGACAGTTTAGTATGAATTTTGTGAAAATTGGACTGTAACTGCCCAACAAAATAGACACTCCCTGAATGCAAATAATGTAAAAGTATGTAATACCAAGGTTGTGGACCCTTTAGAGGTCACAATTTTTGTCCGATTTTGATGAAACTTAAAAAAAGATGTTATATCCGAAAGATCTTGTTTCCTTTCGGTATTTGTGCATGTCGGACCGTAACTGCCCGAATTACGGGCCCTGATTTTATGAAAAATGATGTTTTTAGCTTATGAACCCACTAGAGGTCACAATTTTTATTTGATTATAAATAAACGTTCATATAATGTATAACATCCAGGATTATAGCTTGTTCTCTATCCACCTTTTGCAAAATGTGGGCGTATTTTGCATGGCCATCACTTATTAACAGATGACAAACCCTATTGATTTTCAACCTTCCGTTCAGGAGACCCCCCACCGCACAACAACCTACTTGTTTGTGAAGGTTTTTACGATGTAAAGATGAAATGGTGTGTGGGTGTATTTCCAAGCTTTCAGTAGCTATCTTATTTCACTTGATTTGATTTCATTCCTACATGGTTGGGAATTCCGGTACTTTAAACAGACAATTATGATTATAACCATTCTGACTCCTAATCAGTGTATACATGATTATTATCTAGGAACCTACCCATGTTCTACTTTATGTTGTAGGACTGTAACAATCAAATGATGACTTTTTGTTTAAGTTATGTCTCTTCAAATTTCAATATGACTATTTTTTTTATTTTCAGGCCACATGTACCGAAGAATCGTTGCGTACAGAAAGCTAAAAACAGAGTTAAAAAGGGGTAGGTGTGTGGTGAAATAGTTTCAGGTTGAATGTTAATATATTGTTGATTGTGGACTGCTCGTGGAAGTATTTATTCTAATCCTAGAGATTTGTTTGAAGATCTGTAAGATGTGTTTGATGTATCCGTATGCCTTGCTATATACCCAATGAAGTTGAGTAATCATCACTTCGAACAGTGAAATTCCTTTAATGATTTAAACGGACTTGAAATTCTCATACTAGCCTATATCCTTATATTTATAGGTCTGATTTGTAGACTAAAACATAAACAAATATTTTGTGCGATCCATTACAGACTAAATCTCCATACTCATAAAATTTACTGCTTGAGGTTATGTCATCATAACTGGAGGTGTTTAGATTACGTAATTTGTATATGTTCAAATTATCTGATAGATCCATGTGAACTATTAGCAGAATTCTACCACTGATATTTGGATTTCAATCATTTTTAAACGCCCTCCGTGAACACTCTACAGGCTACTTGTATTATCTGTTTCTTTTAAAATTGACATGTTGTTTACATAATTTTCGTTGATTTCTTCAGGAGTTATGGCCTTTGTTTCACTTTGTTGCACTCTGTGAATACTCTATTGACAAACGTTATCATCCATATACTTAATTCAAATTAGTCAAATGAGGAATTGTATTGAATTTCAGCAATTTCTGTTAATTATTACTTGGGTTATGACTCCTGTTTCACTTTGTTGAGCCTTGTGACAGACAAAAGTTTATATCATCTGATCTGTAATTAAATTGATATCAATGTCTCAAAATTCTCCTATTACGTGAACCTACAAAAGTTATCATCCGATTTGTATTATATTGATATCTATGTTTTGAAATGCTCGTATTACCCACAAAAGAATATGCGAGGACCCTTGTCAACCGCTTGGAAAATCTAGCTGCTGCAGACGTTTCATTGCCTGCCTACCTATCTTTGATCACAAATTATGAAAAGTAATTCCTGGAAAGCTAAATCCACTTTTTATCAGAAATATCTTGGTGTGAGTAGATTAAACCTATTACTTTTCAAATTTGGTGTAAAATAATGGAATCACAAAAGATGAACTGCTGTGTGGGCATATTTCAATTGAATTGATTTATTTTCATTCCCACTTGTTTGGGAATTCCAGCGCTAATAGGACGATTATGATTATAACCGTTCTGGAACACAATATTAGAAAATATCAGTTTTGTCCATGTATGATAAGCCGTATAGTATTTTTACTATGAACCATTTAATTTTCTGTATTTTAATCTAATTTAAAGGAAATTAATTTAGTCTGTACATGAAATTAAACTATTGTACATTCATTGTCTCATAGAGAAATCCGTATGATAGAATGTCTCATTCATTGTCTCGTATGATAGACTATCTCATCATAACAAAATTACATAGCTTTATGATTTTCTTTCTTTTTATCACAATTAAGTGTATACATAGGCAGTTAGCACCAATAGTAGTGAATGTCTTGGTTGCTGTTGCCTAGCAACTTATCTTTTGTAGGCAGTTAGCACATGGTAGTGAATGACTTAGTTGCTGTGGTCTAGCAACTTATAATTTATAGGCTAAGGCTATTATCAATTCATTGCTGTCTATAAACTAGCATCTTAGCTCAAATCTATTGATGGACCCAAGTAAAAGACAGAAGACATTTAATTAATAATCAATTAGAGTACGATTTAAAGGGGATTGATGATGAAGAATTAAATATTAGAACATACAAAAATATATACAAATTTATTGTATTAAATTTTTTCCTTTCAGTTTGAATAATATGAAGATGTTTAAACAGGTTTTAAAGCATCCAGCCTTTCGAAATGATCCAGGATCAACAATCAATGAACACTTACATAATAAAATGAAACAAGAGGAACAATAAATAACATAATGACTACCCAGAACTCCCCATACATTCAACGGCACCTTATCCAAAAGGTGCTACTCCATAAATCTTACCAAGGCTGTTCAAGTATTGTAGTTGGGATTAATATGTATTTTTATGCACCCATATTTTCATGTGGATGTACTATGCCATCACCTCTGTCCGTTTATCGTGGATTAAAATTGACCCCAACCTTGACCCACAGAAGGTTGTTGATCTTCTACAGGAACAACAGATCTTGAATGAGTTAGATGGCATATTGTTTTTGTATTATTTCTTTTTCCATTGTCATGAAATGTAATTAATAAATAGAAACTTTTATGCAAAATGTGAAATGTTCCGAACTTTGTAGAAACTGTAGTGCCCACAATTTGTGTCTAATTTAGATGAAACTTTAAACAGATGTGGATTGACGGCGGCACACTTCAGTTAACATGCTGACTATGCTGTACTATCATTATTGAAGTTCTTAAAAAAAAAAAAAATCATCCTTATAGTCCAGGATTTAATTAGCATATTGAGTACAAAAGGTTTGAGGCCTGAAATTAGTAGACATTGATCGGCACTTCCAAAAAAGCAACTCTTAAGTTATGCTTTTAGGTACACCACCAGGGGCATGGTTCACATCAATGTAACCTGTGTCAAAATTTTCCTTAGGATCCCCGATCACAAGATAAATCCTTCTGGGAATAAACCCATTTGTGGGTAGGTCAAAATTACAATTGGTCGGCCACGCCCAATCTGCCTTAAATATGCGAGCCTATCAATTTTCAACAGTTTCCAGTGATTATGGCAATTGATATTAAATGTTTTGTATGGTAAATGGTAGAATCAGGACAGAACTAGAAGCCAAATGGGTTGTTACTCGTTATCAGATTTTAGTGTGTTGTAAATGTTTTCATTTCTGACAAAAAAAAAAATATGCGACAGCCCTTGTTGACTCCCCCAGGCGACATAGCTGCTGTGGGCGTATGCTTTGTTGATTGGCAACCTATCTTTAAAAACTCTAATAGAATTTGCGCTTTTGGTTTCGTTTGATATTGAATTCCATAAAATTGGAGCACTGACATGGAATGATCTATCACTGAAGTTAGTTTTTATACGCCCACATAGAAATGTGGACGTATATTGCCGTCGCCCCCATCCGTCGGTCCGTCCATCGTCCACAATTTCTTGTGAACGCTCTAACGCCAAAAGTTATCATCCAATTGTTTTAAAATTGATATATGTTGTTTACATAGTGAGACGAAGAAACCTATTTAATTTCAATATTTTCTGTTTATAACGTCTAGAGTTATGGCCCTTGTTTCACTTTGTTGAACCTTGTGAACACTTTAATGCCAAAAGTTAACATCGGATCTTTGTGAAATTTATATGCAATATTTAAATTAGGGAAACAAAGAAGCCTATCGAATTTCAGCAATTTTCGTTTATTACTTCTAGAGTTATGGCGCTTGTTTCACTTTGTTTAACATTGTGAACGCTCTAACCCCAAAATTTATCATCCTATCTTTCTGAAATTTATATGCATTATTTAAATTAGTGAAACGGAGAACCCTATTGAATTTCAGCAATTTCCGTTAATTACATCTAGAGTTATGGCCCTTGTTTCACTTTGTTGAATCTTGTGAACTCTCTAATGACAAGTTGTCATCCGATCTGTTTGAAATTGATATGCATCATTTAAATTAGTGAAACAAAGAATCCTATTGAATTTCAGCAATTTCCGTTTATTACGCCATGAGTTATGGCCCTTGTTTCACTTTGTTTAACCTTGTGAACGCTCTAACCCCAAAAGTTATCACCTTATCTTTCTGAAATTTATATGCATTATATAAATTAGTGAAACGAAGAAGCCTATTGAATTTCAGCAATTTCTGTGTAATACTTCTAGAGTTATGGCCCTTTTTTCAATTTATTGAACCGTGTGAACGCTCTAACACCAAAAGTTATCACAATATTTCTGAAATTGCTATGCATTATTTAAATTAGTGAAACGAAGAAGCTTATTGAATTTCAGCAATTTCTGTTTATTAGGTCTAGAGTTATGGCCCTTGTTTCACTTTATTGAACTTTGTGAATGCTCTAACATCATGCTCTAAAGTTATCTGCCGATCTGTATCTGTCATTTAAATTAATAAAGAGAAGAATCCTATTGAATTTCAGCAATTTCCGTTTATTACTTCTAGAGTTATTGCTCTTGTTGCACTTTGTTCAACCTTGTTAATGCTAGATTGATGAAAGTTATCATCCGATATGTATGAAATTTATATGCATCATTTAAATTTGTGAAACGGAAAAGCCTGTCAATTTCAACAATTTCTGTAGATTACTTGCAGAGTTGAGACCCTTGTTTCAATTTGTAGAACCTTGTAAACCCTCAAACGGCAAAAATTATAATCTGATCTGTATAGAACTGTCTTGTAAAGGCCCTCAATTACCTACAAAGGAATAAATATGCGACAACCCTTGTCGACAGTCGGACGATTTAGCCGCGTAGGAGCTGGGGGGGAGGGGGCAAAAAAATTTATTTTCGGGCAATGAAAAATTCGACAACCTTTTTTTTTATTAACGTTTAGAGAAAAAAATATAACTAACTTATTTCTATGAGATCCATACTGCCCGAAAAGTATTTTCTCGTCTTTTTCTTGTCCAATGCATGCCCGAAAATATGCCCGAAGCTCTCTTATGATATGTATGCCCGAAAAAACGGTATTGATTTCGGGCAATTTTCTCTTATGCCCCCTGAATTTCTTTGATCTCCTACGCCTATGTTTAGCCGCTGTGGGTGTATGTTTCGTTGCCTGGCAACCTATCTTTGAAGAGGTTATCTGATTATGATCGAAGGGTTCTGCAACGTTTATTAGTGTTAAAAAGGTCTCTAAGGTATTGAGGTGAAGAATCATCATACACAGCAGAATATACGTAATAGTCATAGACAGTATTTTAAAATTGATACGTTGACGGATTGGAAGCCAACGGAGATCTCTTGTTTCTGTTTAGGAATAAAGACGACAGTACACCAGACCGAACACAATTTGGCGACCTATTCGGCTAGCGACCTAATCCAGGGGCGGGGGGGGGAGGCGCCGCAAAATGAGTGCACTGACCGCGGAGACGGGGCACGCCGCTGAGAGGCGATTTTTTTTTTGGGGGGGGGCAAGAAAATTATCCGTCATTTCCTTGCATCTGTAGCCATTCCAAGAGCTATTTGGCTGATATTTTCGTCTAAGTAAACGTTCAGAAATCGTTGAAAAATAGCCTTGAAATCGAGCAAAAAAGCCAGTTGAACATGCGACTCGAAAATTGTCATGGCGAGCGAGGCATTATGATGGGAAAAGAGACGAATCTATTCCCTAGCCACTTCATTATTTAAGCCTTGTAACTTGTACTTTGTACTGTCCACACATGAAACAATGCTACATCAAGTTGCACTCAGGGGCGTGCTGGGGGTATGGGGGGGTTCTCACCCCAGAAATTTTTTGAAATTTGACAACGGGAAACGCGTTTTGCAAGCACTTCTGGGAGAAATCTAGGTATCATATTTTTCAAATTTATGCTGCTATTTTGACTATAAGACATTTTACTGTACTACACAAGACACTCATGACAGGTCTACTTAATATAATGCTAATACAATGTATTTCTATCCAAATAATAAATTGCATCTTATACATATCGAGGCATGAATACATGTATCAAAGACCATTTCACCCTAAGGTGACAGACATTTGCACGTCAGCAGCATAATATTTTTTACTAATCGTTGTGTACGTATGTATGATTTTTCGCGTGCGCACTCTCAATTTTTTGAGGGGATTCCGCGTGAAAATTAGAGCTCTCAGGGGGGCCCGCTTATACGGGTGGACTTATTGTTTAATGGGGGCCTGGGAGGACACCGTCCTCCTAAACTCCCTGCCAGCACCCCCTGGTTGCACTCATGTGCGTCGGTGATGGGCATAAGTGTATACGCCGCCGATTCCACACGATGTCTGTCTATAGCCACTCTATAGGATTAGGGCACCGTCAGCTAAACAACAAGAATTCGTTTGAAAGTGAAAGCATTAATTAGACCAGACTGGTGTGTTTGAATCGATGGTTTGAGTCATTTGGGATCCCTGCAACGGGTTGGGAACGGACATATTTGGGTCTGAGAAAGGGCACTTTCAGCAGTAAGAAAGGGCACTGTCGAAAATTAGGGGCGCCCCCCCCCCTTAAATCCGACTCTGTATTCGACCGATCCAGCTGGCAACCTGTTCGTTGGCAACCTATTCAGAATAAATTCAACAGTCGCCCAAACTCATGTATTTTGATCGACCAATCAAATCCAACGTTACGTCTATCAAATGAAAGTAGAATATATTATTATTTATCCATTCCTTTAGCTCAGAATAGAGATGTAATTTCGCATTATCTTACAAAATTCTGGACATCCAACTAAATATATTCCGAAAGGTAAATAAATAAGCTTTCCAAATATTATTAGTAAAAGTTGGCACAGTCATATTAAAGGGATGCACTCTCATCCTAAACATGGCCAATTTTGAAAAAAAAATTAAAGGGAAAGACTGTTAATGTTAATATCCCGTGTCAAAATTCGGACCATCGTACAAAATTCTGATGATCCAACTAAATATATTCTAAAAGCTCATTGAATAAGCTTTCCAAATCTTATTAGTAAAAGTTGGCACAATCATATTAAAGGGGCGCTCTCTCAACCTGAACATAGCCCATTTTTCAATATTTTAAAGTGAAAGAACGGTAATATTCCGAGTCAAAATTCGGATCATCGTACAAAATTCTGAGCATCGGGCTATATATATTCTGAAAGGTAATTGAATAAGCTTTCTAAATATTAGTAAAAGTTGGCACTATCATATTAAAGGGGTGCGCTCTCATCCTAAACGTCGCCAATTATTCAATATTTTAAAGTGAAAGAACGATAATATTACGAGTCAAAATTAGGACCATCGTACAAAATTCTGAGCATCCAGCTATAAATATTATGAAAGGTAATTGAATAAGCTTTCCAAATATTATTAGTACAAGTTGGCACAATCATATTAAAGGGGTGCGCTCTCATCCTAAACGTCGCCAATTTTTCAATATTTTAAAGTGAAAGAACGATAATATTCCGAGTAAAAATTCTGACCATCTTAAAAAATTCTGAGCATCCAGCTATATATATTCTGAACGGTAATTGAATAAGCTTTCCAAATATTATTAGTAAGAGTTGGCACAATCATATTAAAGGGGTGCGTTCTCAACCTGGACATAGCCAATTTTTCAATATTCTAAATGTAAAGATAGGTCGGTATTTTTTTCGAAGTCGAAATTCGGATCATCGTACAAAATTCTGAGCATCCAGCTATATATATTCTGAAAGGTAATTGAATTAGTTTTCTAAATAATATTAGTAAAAGTTGGCACAATCATATTAATGGGGTGCGCTCTCATCCTAAACGTCGCCAATTTTTCAATATTTTAAAGTGAAAGAACTAGAATATTCCGAGTCAAAATTCGGACTATCGTACAAAATTCTGAGCATCCAGCTATATATATTCTAAAAGGTGATTAAAAAAGCTTTCCAAATATACTTAGTAAAATATGGCACAATCATATTAAAGGGGTGCGCTCTCATCCTAAACGTCGCCAATTTTTCAATATTTTAAAGTGAAAGAACGGTAATATTCCGAGTCAAAATTCGGACCATCGTACAAAATTCTGAGCATCTAGCTATATATATTCTGATAGGTAATTGAATAAGCTTTCCAAATATTATTAGTAAAAGTTGGCACAATCATATTAAAGGGGCGCGCTCTCAACCTGAACATAGTCAATTTTTCAATATTCTAAATGTAAAGATAGGTCGGTATTTTTTTCGAAGTCGAAATTCGGATCATCGTACAAAATTCTGAGCATCCAGCTATATATTCCGAAAGATAATTAAATAAGCTTTCCAAATAAACTAAGTAAAAGTTGGCACAATCATATTAAAGAGGTTCGCTCTCACCCTGAACAAAGCCCATTTTTCAATATTTTAAAGTGAAAGAGCGGTAATATTTAGTTGGATCCTCAGAATTTGATAGGATGGTCCGAATTTTGACACGGGATATTAACGGTCTTTCCCTTTAAATCTTTTTTTAAAAATTGGCCATGTTTAGTATGATTTTACACCCCTTTAATATGACTGTGCCAACTTTTAATAATAATATTTGGAAAGCTTATTTAATTACCTTTCGGAATATATTTAGTTGGATGTCCAGAATTTTGTAAGATAATGCGAAATTACATCTCTATTCTGAGCTAAAGGAATGGATAAATAATCTACTTTCATTTGATAGACGTAACGTTGGATTTGATTGGTTGATAAAAATAGTTGAGTTTGGGCCACTGTTGAATTTATTCTGAATAGGTTGCCAACGAACAGGTTGCCAGCTGGATCGGTCGAATAGGTCGCGAGCCGAATAGGTCGCCAAATTGTGTCCGGTGTATACCAGCCCAGTGTGTTGTCGTCGAGCTATATATATATATATATTTGACGGTGAAATACAAGCTTAGCTGTAGCCAATCTGATTAAGATCTATATTTCGTTTCGTTTTTATACGCCCACATTGAAATGTGGTCGTATATTGTCGTCGCCCCCATCCGTCCGTCCGTCGGTCCGTCCGGCGTCCACAATTGCTTGTGGGCGCTCTATAGGCTAAAGTCAATATCCGATTGACTTTAAATTTATACACAGTGTTTATGTTCATGGGACGAAGAAGCCTATTGATTTTCAGCGATTTTCGATAATTACTGCCAGAGTTATGGCCCTTGATCACTTCAAAAAATCTTGTGGCCGCTCTAGAGGTCAAAGTTAATATCCGATTGACTTTAAATTTATACACAGTGTTTAAGGTCATGGGACGAAGAGGCCTATTGATTTTCGACGATTTTCGATAATTACTGCCAGAGTTATGGCCCTTGATCACTTTGAAAAATCTTGTGGACGCTCTAGAGGTCAAAGTCAATATCCGATTGACTTTAAATTTATACACAGTGTTTAAGGTCATGAGACGAAGAAGCCTATTGATTTTAAGCGATTTCCGGGGCAGAACTTTATAAAAACCAAACAAATTCTAATGGTTTTCTGATAATTACTTAATGAGTTGTTACTCTTAATCAGATTTTAATGTATTATAATTGTTTCATTACCGAAAAAAGTAAAAATATACGACAACTCTTCTTGACTGCCCGGACGATATAGCTGATGTGGGCTTGTTTCGTTGCCTGGCAACCTATCTTTATACTTTCGATGACCTACACTACATGAATATCTGACCAGTTGTTTTGGGGGGTCACGTCAGAGGTCATACGATCAGCGGCTTTTGACCCTATGACGTCAGATATTGATTAATTAATCAGCGTTGACGTTTCTAGTGGTTTACCCACAGCTCTGTGCATGACACTCCAAAAAGTTGCCGTAACAGACCGTTTCATTGACTTATCTCTCACATCAACCAAAACGCCGGTAATATAACAACCCTTCCAAATCCTAGTGTAGTGAAGACAAGTAAAACGAAATTTTGAAATATAAAAAACGAAACGAAATAGGATCTGTGTTTTAATCAGATTGATCTGTAGCAGATTTTATTTTTCCTCTTGGCCCACCTTGACGGCTAATTGTCAGACAAAAATACCCGTTGCCATTTACAGCTACACCATTGTAAATACTATCATATCAAATGTTACCATGTGATCTTGATTTTATCTCGACTAATGTGAGAAATAGCCAGACGTTAATAGATACAGAGTAGATGTACACCAGACAAGATGAACCAGGTTACGTCTGTATGTCTTTTGATTGTGTTTATAGGTAAGAATTAAACCTTTGTAGGGTGCACATGAATCTCACACTCCAAGCTACTCGACGTCCGCGTCACGACCGCCCCGTAAAACTATCCTGACCACGGACTTTTAAATAACAGATGTACGACAATCTGTGAACCATCTTCAAACGATTAGTGTGAGGCTATCTTGCGATCATGCTTCATCTTTCTTCAACTTCAATATGGACATCAATTTTTTACTTGACTATGGTCTTCACGTATTTTTAAATAGTTGAAACCTATGAAAACTATATTGTTCTACACACTTTATTTTTAGAACAGTAAAGCAAGAAACTTATAAGTTCAGCTAGGTTTCACGAACCTAGAACTCAGGGAATTACTGACAGTACGTTGACCAATTACACTGGTCATTTCACCAACAATGTTTGTCAAACTCAATTTCAGACCATTTTCTGCTCGTAGTTTTTAGAGGTAGCAAACTACAAATATTTTCACTAGAGTCCCTTCTATCATAAACCATGATCAAACCTTGTTCCTGGAGTAATGGTCGCGGATCTGGTGGTTATACCCAGACAAACCTCCCATATGCATCAACAAGGCAATTTAATTAGTTCATCATTATGGCGTATGTTTAGCCAACAGCTATCCATAGACAATCACTGCCATACAATAAACAGCTTGTGGAAAGGCTGCAGCTGTCAAGGCAATTCTCTTCTAACCCAGGGATATTGAACACAGGGAACCATAAGTCCGCCCGAAACCTATAAAAGTACAATAATGTTTCACAAAGACATCGTGAAAAGTTTGTGATATATGTTCTGGAATAGTAATTGTACACTAAAGACTTGTTCAGCTGGGGTATAGTTCTACATGTCCAATACTTTATACTCGTTTTACTGATTCAATGACGTATTAGATTATCATTAGTAGTTTTTGTAGCAGCATTTTAGTAATGTCTAGTAATTTATTATAATTAGGGTTTCACACTGCGTAGCTTGTGTGAAACACTATTGTTTTTGTTAAAATTATTATTAGGGTTTCACACTGCGTAGCTTGTGTGAAACACTATTGTTTTTGTTAAAATTATTATTAGGGTTTCACACTGCGTAGCTTGTGTGAAACACTATTGTTTTTGTTAAAATTATTATTCTTATTATTATTATTCTTCTTTTGTTTTGAGTAGATCTCAGCAACTGATTGTCGGATCGTTACGATTTCTTCGGTTTTATCGGAAAAGTGGGTGTGACTTAGAGGATAAAGCTATTTTGAACGTTCTGCGACAATGCGAAATGTCCGAAATCACCGAAGCTATCGTTTTTAGAAATATTGCAGTAATTTTAACAATAATCATTGGATTTTAACTTTCGATGCATTTTGGCATAGCCGGAGACGGGGCACATAGCTACGCTACTTTTAATTTTTGATTTTCGGCAAATCTTCGCAGATATTAGGCGCTAAATTTAGAAAATTTAAATTTTTACAAAAAACTTTTTTATTTATAAATATTTTTTAATCGTGTTTTACACAAATATAACGAGTCCTCTGACTTGGGCAAAAATGTGAAAAATTTTTGTCTCGGTAATTTTCCTTGGCCCCCATTGGCTAATTCAGTTTTTCAGTCCTAGATTAATTATTTATTGTTCGATTTGTATAAAACAAAGTTCATATGCCCCGTTGTCTCAATTGTCATTTTTTTTGTTACCAATAGTGTTATCTGTCGGCACCGGAAGTGGCGTAAATTGACAAAAAACTACAATTTTGACAGTTAGGTACCATTTTTCGAAAGCAAATATTATTTTTTTCAAATCTGGTATAACTGAAATTGTGCGCCCTTTAAAGGCGCACAAAATGTTGGAACCAGTTTTTTTAATTTCGATTCCGTTTTCGGGCTATTTCGATTAAAAGGTGAAAAAAGGTGTAAAATTAAGCTATTTACAACCCATCCAGCGTTTTCATATTTTAAAATATTACTTCGTAACTTTCATAAACTCGTAGCAATAATCTATACGGAGAGAATGTATGTGAAAATTAATTTGTAATATGCGCAGTTGCCGAGAAATGGGCAATTTTGCATGAGTCACTTTTTACGCTAGTTTGCCTGTAAAAGAGTCAATTATTATTCGATTTTCATAAAAGTGACACCATTTGATGTGTAATGTCAATTTTAACTAGGTCAAACCAATTTAACATTTTCAATATCACCGGAAATGACGTAATTTGGGCAAAAATTGTATTTATAGCCTTCGAAACCAGTAATTTATTCAAATGAGTCATATTTGTTATTTGTTTAAAATTTTGATATTTGATTCAAATGAACTAATACAATGAACCCTTACGATCATATAGATATCACAAAATGGTTTCTAACTTGTTCAGTTGCGGAGAAATAGGCAATTTTCAACAGGTCACTTTTTAAGGTTTTTTGTCAATAAAAGTGTCAATTATTATTCGATTTTCATGAAATTTTCATTGTGTGATACCTAATGCCATTTACGATTTCATACAAGTAATTTAAGATTTTCATTATCACCGGAAGTAACGTCATTTTGGCAAAAACTGTATTTTTAGCCTTCAAAACAGATATTTTATTCAAATGAATCAGATTTGTAATGTTTTTAAAATTATGATATTTGATTCCAATCAACAAATAGAATGAACTCATTCGATCATACAGATACCTCAAAATGGTTTCTAACTTGTACGGTTGCAGAGAAATAGGCGATTTTCTACAAGTCATTTTTCAAGGTTTTTGGTCTATAAAGGTGGCAACTTTTATAGGATTTACATAAAATTTTCACCATGTGATGATGCTATTTCTGATTTCATAAACCAATTTAACATTTTCATTATCACCGGAAGTAATGTAATTTTGGTACCGGAAGTGACATAAGTTCAAGGGTAACGTGGCACCGGTGAAACCCGTCATTACTGCTTCGCAGTTCTAGTTCTTATTATTATTATTCTTCTTTTGTTTTGAGTAGATCTCAGCAACTGATTGTCGGATCGTTACGATTTCTTCGGTTTTATCGGAAAAGTGGGTGTGACTTAGAGGATAAAGCTATTTTGAACGTTCTGCGACAATGCGAAATGTCCGAAATCACCGAAGCTATCGTTTTTAGAAATATTGCAGTAATTTTAACAATAATCATTGGATTTTAACGTTCGATGCATTTTGGCATAGCCGGAGACGGGGCACATAGCTACGCTACTTTTGATTTTTGATTTTCGGCAAATCTTCGCAGATATTAGGCGCTAAATTTAGAAAATTTAAATTTTTACAAAAAACTTTTTTATTTATGAATATTTTTTAGTCGTGTTTTAAGCAAATATAACGAGTCCTCTGACTTGGGCAAAAATGTGAAAATTTTTTGTCCCAGTAATTTTCCTTGGCCCCCATTGGCTAATTCAGTTTTTCAGTCCTATATTAATTATTTATTGTTCGATTTGTATAAAACAAGGTTCATATGCTCCGTTGTCTCAATTGTCATTTTTTTTGTTACCAATAGTGTTATCTGTCGGCACCGGAAGTGGCGTAAATTGACAAAAAACTACAATTTTGACAGTTAGGTACCATTTTTCGAAAGCAAATATTATTTTTTTCAAATCTGGTATAACTTAAATTGTGCGCCCTTTAAAGGCGCACAAAATGTTGGGACCAGTTTTTTTAATTTCGATTCCGTTTTCGGGCTATTTCGATTAAAAGGTGAAAAAAGGTGTAAAATTAAGCTATTTACAACCCATCCAGCGTTTTCATATTTTAAAATATTACTTCGTAACTTTCATAAACTCGTAGCAATAATCTATACGGAGAGAATGTATGTGAAAATTAATTTGTAATATGCGCAGTTGCCGAGAAATGGGCAATTTTGCATGAGTCACTTTTTACGCTAGTTTGCCTGTAAAAGAGTCAATTATTATTCGATTTTCATAAAAGTGACACCATTTGATGTGTAATGTCAATTTTAACTAGGTCAAACCAATTTAACATTTTCAATATCACCGGAAATGACGTAATTTGGGCAAAAATTGTATTTATAGCCTTCGAAACCAGTAATTTATTCAAATGAGTCATATTTGTTATTTGTTTAAAATTTTGATATTTGATTCAAATGAACTAATACAATGAACCCTTACGATCATATAGATATCACAAAATGGTTTCTAACTTGTTCAGTTGCGGAGAAATAGGCAATTTTCAACAGGTCACTTTTTAAGGTTTTTTGTCAATAAAAGTGTCAATTATTATTCGATTTTCATGAAATTTTCATTGTGTGATACCTAATGCCATTTACGATTTCATACAAGTAATTTAAGATTTTCATTATCACCGGAAGTAACGTCATTTTGGCAAAAACTGTATTTTTAGCCTTCAAAACAGATATTTTATTCAAATGAATCAGATTTGTAATGTTTTTAAAATTATGATATTTGATTCCAATCAACAAATAGAATGAACTCATTCGATCATACAGATACCTCAAAATGGTTTCTAACTTGTACGGTTGCAGAGAAATAGGCGATTTTCTACAAGTCATTTTTCAAGGTTTTTGGTCTATAAAGGTGGCAACTTTTATAGGATTTACATAAAATTTTCACCATGTGATGATGCTATTTCTGATTTCATAAACCAATTTAACATTTTCATTATCACCGGAAGTAATGTAATTTTGGTACCGGAAGTGACATAAGTTCAAGGGTAACGTGGCACCGGTGAAACCCGTCATTACTGCTTCGCAGTTCTAGTTAGGGTTTCACACTGCGTAGCTTGTGTGAAACACTATTGTTTTTGTTAAAATTATTATTCTTATTATTATTATTCTTCTTTTGTTTTGAGTAGATCTCAGCAACTGATTGTCGGATCGTTACGATTTCTTCGGTTTTATCGGAAAAGTGGGTGTGACTTAGAGGATAAAGCTATTTTGAACGTTCTGCGACAATGCGAAATGTCCGAAATCACCGAAGCTATCGTTTTTAGAAATATTGCAGTAATTTTAACAATAATCATTGGATTTTAACTTTCGATGCA